GAACAAGTAAATTAAGGGTGTATTTTGTAAATATGAAATAAAGCTAAGTTAATTTTAATGCCCAGATTATAAGTTATTGTCATAATTGCAAGATAGTTTTTGAAGTAACCTTTAAAAAGTGACACCATTTGCAAAAATGATGAAAATATTTTATTAATGAGCATTTTTTATGAAGTTCTTATCTTTAATGAACATTTTTAAATTTTCATTAAGACACATTTGGCTTAAATTATTTGAGAACAGTTTTGGCACAAGAAATGAATATGCTAAAATAAAAAAATCTCCAACATTTCCTTTCGTACTTGTGGGCAAAAATCACATGTCATACATACTTGGAGAGCTTTTAATAAGCTTCACATTACACGTCTTAAATTATAACAGTGAAAAACTACAAAAGCCCCCCACGGTCAAATTCCGACTACTATAGTGCTAGAGTTTTGGAAGCGTTATGTCAAATTTTTAGTGTGTTTTTAATTTTTTTATACGGAGTATTAAAAATTAATACCTTACTGTGTTATAATTTGATTTTAATTTATAGTAAAAAAATAAAGATACTCCGTACTACGGAGTATTTAGTTGATGTTAGTTACGTACTGTATGAAAGAAGATATGATAAAACCAATAGATTTGTTTAATTTTTGGACACTTGTGTATTTGTTCCCGGAATATATAGAAAAGAAAGAAATATTGTGTGCTTCTCATTTTCTTATTGCTATTGCCGCGCTTATTCGCTTATTCTTCTGGTTAATGCGCCACACTGAAGACTAAACAAAGCAACTTTTAAATAAGTACTGCTTAATCTCCTTACACATAAGAACATTATGTTGTATACTTTTACTAATTTATAGACTAATAGTTCAAAAGTGATGGCTCTTCAATTTCATGAAATACAGTTGAATACTTGAATTGAAAAGGTTTGTGAATTTATTGTTATTTTAAGGGTATTTATAAGACTAACTTTTGTTTGATGAGTAGTCTTCATGTCAGGCCGGCCTGACGGGATGCTCCGTCCGGCTGAGCCTGTTTGGGCACTTTTCCGGTGGAATTTTTTGATGAAATTTTTTGAGCATGTTCCTCATCAAGTCTAGTTTGTCCATACCAAATTTCAGCTCAAAATTCGATCGGGAAGCCATTCAAATCATTTTTTGAAGTTGACTGCGTCAAAATATAAATATAAAACTGCAGTCAACTTCAAAAAATTATTTGAATGTCTTCCCGATCGAATTTTGAGCTGAAATTTGGTATGGACAAACTAGACTTGATGAGGAACATGCTCAAAACATTTCATCAAAAAATTCCACCGGGAAGGTGCCCAAACGGGCTCGGCCGGACGGAGCATCCCGTCAGGCCGGCCTGACATGAAGATTTGTCTTGTTTGATATCATATACCGTTACTTCTACAGATAGTGGTGGACTCGGGCCGGGTGGCCCGATCCGGAACCGTCCCGGGACCGGCACTGTTCCGGCCCGTGGCCCGACCAGTGACCCGATCCGGGCTCGGGTCACCCAAAACATGAACCGGCTCGGCCGGTCTGGGCCCGGTTCCGGCCTTTTTTTTCATCTTTTTTTGTAAATCCCCGGGTTGGGCTGGATATTTTGGGCCATTTGGGGGTTTGGGGGTTTGGGGGGTCGGGGGGTAATTAGAACAAGGGGAAAAAATGTAAGAGGCCCGAGATCCTGATCCGGTGGCTACCCGGGCCGGTCCCGGACCCAACATTTCCTAACCGGCGGCCCAAGTCCAGCACTATCCACTGATACCTTTTTTATACTAACATATTGAGTGTATAATAAATCTAGATTAAGATTATACCGAAAGACTTGGTTACAAAAAGACTGATATAACAAATTTTGGTATATACTCAATGTCTCAAATTGAGATGCAATTAGGCCTTGACTCGGGCCGATCGGACCGAACCGGAACCGGCCCGAACCGCCACTGTTTCGGCCCGGCCCGGGAACCTGTCAGCTGGAAGGTTCGGGCCTACCCGGCCCAGTAGGTAGGCGGTCCGGGCTCGGGCCTTGCAAATGATGAATCGGCCGGGCCGGGGCCGGTCCGGGCCTCCAACCGCTCTTCTTTTTTTAAAAAAAATTGAAGAAGGCTCCTTACCGTTGGGAATAATCCCAAACGGCTCTATAGCCGTTGGAGGGGGAAGAGGGGGTCCGGGGGTTTTGGGGGGGTGAGGGATAACAAAAAAATCTATTTATACTCCTATTTTCTCTACACTTTCACACCATCTTCATACAATCCTACTCTCTAATTTTCTATTATCTGATACTCAATCATCTCCATCTTCATCTTCTCCAAACCTCTCTACATATATATATATATATATATATATATATATATATATATATATATATATATATATATATATATATATATATATTATTTATATAATTATTATATCTACTTATATATTAATTATCTACTTATATACCTATATTATATTACTAATATTTATTATCTACTTAATATATACTTATTATCTACTTATACATCTCCATCTTTTTAATATTTACTTTATTATCTATATTTATTTATTGTTATTTACTTACATATATTAAAGTATTATATATAAGTGTATTACTCATCTTATAGCAATATACTTATATATTATATACTATAAACATTATATTATATATTAGTTATACAATAATCTACTTATATACCTATATTATATTACTAATATTTATTATCTAAGTAATATATACTTATTATCTACTTATACATCTCCATCTTTTTAATATTTACTTTATTATCTATATTTATTTTTATTTACTTATATATTAAAGTATTATATATAAGTGTATTACTCATCTTATAGTAATATACTTATATATTATATACTATAAGCATTATATTATATATTACTTATACAATAATCTACTTATATACCTATATTATATTACTAATATTTATTATCTATTTAATACATACTTATTATCTACTTATACATCTCCATCTTTTTAATATTTACTTTACTATCTATATTTATTGTTAGTTACTTATATATATTAAAGTATTATATATAAGTCTATTACTCATCTTATAGTCATATACTTATATATTATATACTATAAACATTATATTATATATTAGTTATACAATAATCTACTTATATACCTATATTATATTACTAATATTTATTATCTATTTAATACATACTTATTATCTACTTATACATCTCCATCTTTTTAATATTTACTTTATTATCTATATTTATTGTTATTTACTTATATATATGAAAGTATTATATATAAGTGTATTACTCATCTTATAGTAATAAACTTATATATTATATACTACAAACATTATATTATATATTAGTCATACAATTATATTAGTTACACTTGAATTCATAGTAATTAAATTCATCGTATTAGTTAATTTTTACATTTCTCATTATCCTAATTTAGTTAATTAATTACATTTTTCATTAAAGTATAAAAGTAAATAATTGTTACATTTTTCATTAAAGTATAAAACTAGTTAATTGTTACATATTTCATTAAAGTATAAAAGTAGTTAATTGTTACATTTTTCATTAAAGTATAAAAGTAGTTAATTGTTACATTTTTCATTTCCCTATTATTTAATTTGTTAATTGTTGCAGTTATTATAAAAGTAAAAAACTAGTTAATTATTAATTGTTGCATTAAAGTATAAAACTAGTTAATAGTTACATTTTTCATTTCCCTATTATTTAATTTGTTAATTGTTGCATTTATCATAAAAGTAAAAAACTAACATTATCAACCGGCCCGAGTCCAGATGCAAATATGCAATACTATAACCCCCAAACCGAAATAGTCAACGTTGACAAACAAACATATAGAAAATATAGAATGTGTAAATCTATTTAATTCATATAGCGGAGTAATAAAGTATAGAATTTATGTAATTTCTATTTCATACATCACATATCACAATGTATGACTTTCAAATCACTACCCACCACAAAATCTCTTCGTCCAGAGGTATGTGATCACACTAGGGATGGACTCGGGCCGGGCGGCCCGGCCCAGCCCGGTTACTGTTTGAACCGGCCCGGCCCGGGAGCCGGCCCGGGGCGGTTCGGGTCGGCCCGGCCCGGTTACAGTGCGGTTCGGGTCGGGTCGGCCCGGTTACTGTGCGGTTCGGGCCCGGGCCCTTAGATTGGCGAACCGGCCCGGCCGGTTCGGGCCAAATTAATTTTTTTTTTTGAATTTTTTTTAAGTTTTTGGGTTGGGCTTGGTATTTTGGGCCATTTGAGGTGGTTTGGGGTGGTTTGGGGGTGAGGGGGGAGGGTTGGGGGTTAATTAGGAAAAGCCAAAAAAAAAAAAAAAAAATAGAACCGAGGCCCGACCCGGCCCGGACCCGGGATTACCCGGGCCGGTTCCGGGCCTCCCATTTCTGAACCGAGGCCCGGCCGGGCCCGAACCAGAACCGGTCCACCCATAGATCACACATGGCCTTTGACTCGGTGTACAAGATCATCATCCGTACATATAAAGCAAAAGAAGAGTGACTTAAAACATCATATGAGAACAAAATACTGTAAAAATTTGAGTGGTCCTACACTCCTACCCCATAATTGAAGGACTGTTTTATTGGACTCTCTTCTAATTGTTTTGTTTCCCTTTGTTTTGTTTCTCTTCTATTGGACTCGTGTCAATTTAATTTTTTCCAATTCAAATCTCAATCACAACCGTTACATTTTCACATATATCCCGGAATTGAATACCCAAAGGCCAAAACCATGCATTGGGAATTTAGTTACTACACAATATGAGATGTAGATCCAAAAATGCATGGGCAGGTTTTCATCTTCTGTATCCATTGTCCATAATACAAGTAACCAAAGTTGTACAATAATATTCCTATACTAAATTGCATAGCCCATAATTTTTGTTATATTGGAGACAAAGGGCAGATGCAATATGATGGCAACATTTCCTCCCTTCCCCCCCCCCCCCCCCCCCCCCAAAAAGGAAAAAAACATCACAAGTCAATGTTTTTTCTAAATCCTTACTACTCTTCCGATGCAAAATCATAATAATTAGACAGTGGTCTTGAAGAAAGTAATTTCTTCTCCAAAATGGAAATAAATAAAACATCAAGTGTATGGCTTCAACCAAGACACATCACTGATTTGATTTAACACTCTTATTTCTCGTCATCATCAAGATTCAAGAACACCATTAGCTTCAATTGTGGTTGCCATCAAGAGGATGACGGGTGTATTAATAGCTACTCCAGATCTAGTTTCTTTTTCATTCTTTCATAAACAAGATATGTAATACTTGCTGCTGGTACAACCTTTAGAAGATTTGGAAAGAGTCCTTTGTAAAAGCCCCTCACTCCTTCATGCCTAAACGTTCTCATGAACACATCGCTCATTCCGGTGTATGCAGTATTTGCATTCCTCGATTGTGCTTGCATTCTAAGGGACATGCACAACCAACTGATTAGCATGAATAACACCTAGATAGACAGCACATACTACTGCTCAAAGTATGAGACACATTAAATACGTTTTCAATCCCTAAGATGTTGCGTTTTTGTATGTTTGAGAATTGAGATCCTTGCAATTTGTTTTTTCCATCCCAATAACTTACAAACTTTTCCTTTTAGTCCCACCTGACTCTAGCAACCCCTGGAACGAAACATAACAGATACAACAACAACAACAACATCCAAGCCTTAGTCCCAAAAGATATTGGGGTCGGCACATGAATCGATACATGATATCACCATCAAAAGAAAAAGAAAGAAAATAAAGATAAAAAAGATAAGCTATTATAAAAAAGATAATATAAAAAGAGATGAATATACCTAAAAATGATAAAATAAAAAGGATAAAAATAATGTCTATATATATAAGGATAAAAGGATAAAAAACAAAAAAAAAAGAGGGGGAAAGATAATACGAGATCACTCCTCCACACGAATACCCGCCCTCCACTTTGCTCTCTTAGTCATACCCTCATCCAACCTAAGAAGAAGCATATCACTTTGGGACATAACAGATACGACAAGCAAATTCACGCCTTGCTTTTTAGGGACGGACTAAAAGAAAATAGCATAAATTGCAAGGATGAAAAGCAAAAAATATTTGGCATGACCTAAAGCCTGAACCAAATTGTGCTCTATGTTTAGGGACTAAACCATATTTAAGCCAGATGAAAAATTGTTTCAAGAAGCATTCAGGTCAGGTGTATGTTACCTAGTTCTAATAACCTGCAATGGGTAAACACATGTTGCTCCTAGGGCTCCAGAAATTGTCCCACAGCCCAGTTGCAAAAGAGGACCAGGTTCTGCATTCAATCACATTTCATAAGAGACGCCAATCTTTGAGTTTTTTTTTTTTTTAAATATATGCTCCATGCTGTAGAGATATTAAGCAAAAAATATGAGGTCCCTTACCACCATCATCATGAAGAATGTAGGTCCTTGATAAATCCTTCAAAGTCTCATAGGCAGCCAAATCGATACCTGCATATGGTATCATGCCAAGAATAGAGGGCACTAGCCCTCTGTAAAATGCACGGGGACCTTCATGAACCCAAATATCTCTGGATAACTGTCCCAAGTGTGGGACTTTGCCACCTTCACATGCAAAAGTCTGTAAACGGGTTTTCACAAGATCCATTGGATATATAGCAGCTTGGGCTATAGCGCCAGCCATCCCACCAGCAACAAGCCTCCCTGGGGTTCCTATATCACCGTGCTCCCCTCCCTTCCCACTTGAAATGGCATTTTTCAACATTTCATATGCATAAAACTTTATTGCGCTCTCAGGAGCAACTTTTAAAACATTTAATCCGTTTCCTCGAAAAAATCCCAAAAATCCACCTTCCTTCCATATGTTTTTTATTACATGTACACTGGAAGCACGTACGGTCTGAACTTGTAAAGCCACTTTCAGGCGATCCAGTGGGGCAGTTGCTGTACGAGAAGCAGCACCTGCCACACCCCCAGCAAGCAAATACATTGTTGCATGAGCATGCCTGCTGATGCCTTCAGGAATCACAGGTTGTTCACCTATATCTACCAAACACACCCTTTCCAAGTATCGGTAAATGTTCTCAATGGTGGCTTCATGCGGATAGAGTAGAAGAAAGTCCCTCCATTCTTCAAAAGTTATAATGCCATTATTGTCCTTGTCAACTCGTTCTACAAATCGTGCCAGTTCATCATCATCAATTTCAATCCCTGCAAAACTGCCAAATCTAATAAGTGACCATAATTTCAAAGAAAGTTCCTATACATCGGTAGTGCTTTTGAATCAGAGTGTGTAAATCCAAATTAAATGTAATAATTCATAGAAAATTTAAACTGTTATGAATGCACTGCAATATATTACCCTAAAAAACATAAGAATCAAATTATTTTAGCAGAAAAAACATGTAGCGATACATCAAAATGACTTTTCATCCAAAAGAACTACTGAAAAGTAATTACCCAAATAGCTTTGGATGAGAATGCTTATAGGAGTTATAGCAAAAAATATTTAGGCTCTGTTTAACTTAATAGTGAAGAGGCTGTTTTTTGAGCAAAAGTACTTTTCACAAGAACAGAGTCTAAAACTGCTATACAAAAAGCAGTAAATCTTTATTTGAGTTAATACCCATAATAGGGAAAATTGAGATTTATAAAAGCTGCAATTCAAAACTTTCAAACTTTAGTTCATCTGAAATAGTATTTTAAGTATAAGCACTTACAGAAACAGATGAAATATATACAAACCTTCAGGTCTTAGATATAATGAAAGGGCTTTTGAGGTGCTTTTGGGTCTTAAAAGCTAGGGCAAATAGAGGCTTAAAAATGAATATCACAGGTAATTATAGATGAAAAATTAAAATCACACACTGCATTCGTGATATTCAATAATACTTGGCTACCAAAAAGAGATTATTAGTATAAGTTTTTTAAAAAACTCCACAATAGACAGGTCAAGTGAAAACATTATTGCAGCACTTGGAAAAGAGAGTGCCAAAAAGATGTTATAAACAATAATATATACAAGCATACACGTCAAAGTTCTTTGAAACTCCTTATCTAAACTAAGGTATATAGAGAGAGAGGAGACAAACAGTGACTGCAAAGTCATGCTGAATCCTGATCTCCCCCCCATCAATAAATACTGTTATAAAAAAACTAGTCATGAAAATACACAAAATCTGAGCAGCAAAGCATATCACTATCAAATAAAATCTCCTTAATCTGAAAATTGCCTCAAGCAATATACAAATAATAAAATCAAAAGAAATTAGCAGCAGGAAGTACCAGCCTTCACCAGGGCATCCCAAAGCTCTTCAGGTAAAATGCAACCGTTGTGCTCTACATCAATTGCTTGAAAGATGCTATACAACTCAAGCTCCTTATCATCCATATACTTCCTGAACTCCTGATAATCCACCCTCCCATCCTTGTCGGCATCAACCACCCTCAGCAGCTCCTTGGCAAACTTGTAGTCCGCAGGAATCTGCATAGCCGACAAGCCCTTCTCGATTTGCGCGTAACCCAAGTAGCCGACATTGTCGGAATCAAAGAAACTGAACAGGCTTCGGATTCTGAGATCCCTCTCATCCTTGCTCTCCCCGAGAGCTGACAAAACGTGGTCCATGGATACAGGTCCGGGTTTCCTGACCGGGTTGCAGCAACCGGGTCGTTCTTTTTCAGCCATCGCCGGGAAATTCACATGCCCCACGGCCTCTCCAGCGGCAGACATGCTCGTCAGAAATCTGGGAACCTTCAACACATGGGATAGAAAATGCCAACTCCCAACGGTTCTCAGATCGATCACAATGAACCGGTCTAGCGATTCGAAGCGAGGCACTTCTTGATTTAAAGTGTTGTCTTATACGCTGTGCGCATTGGAGAAGATGGGCGCTATAGAAGGGAATATTATATCGATGCTGCGGAGGATCTTCTTGGAGGAAGATCCGGAGAATTACCCGGATTCGGTAAAAACTGGTCTTCGGACCTGATCTGGTTCCCGGGTCAGAAATGGAACGGTCAACAGATTGAAGTAGAAAGGTCGATGCTCTCGCTGTATCACCGGCCGTGTAGGAGTCGGTGCTTTGAACCGAAGAAGAAGAGGAATAAAGAAGAAGACTTGTTAATGGGTTGATCGGGAAGCATAGAATCTACCATGGCCGGCTTCACTCCCACGCGGAATTTCGGGTTGGGGTGGAGAGAGGGTGTGACTTGTTTACCGACTCATTACGGTTAATGGGCACACGTTTTGGGTGGAGGGAGGCCGGCAGGGGATTAGAGGATGGTTCACTAGAGAACTATAGACTATAGTAAAATATTGGGGGTAATAATGGTATATGTTTTAAATTCTCAAAATTATACTACCTCTATCCCTTTTTATTTAGCTAAATTTGACTTTTCTAGTCAAATGTGATAAACTTTGATTCATTGTTTTAACTAATGTATACATGTGAAATTTAATAAATTTATACTTTCATGATATTGCTTTTAACAAGGAATATTTTTATATTATCAATATTATCATGTATAAATATGTTAGTGGTCAAAGTTGAATATCATTGATTTGGAAAATAGTTATTGACAAAAAAAACACAAAAGTGCTTTTGAGAAGTTGTTGCAAACAATGCTAAAAATGTGTTAAATGTGTTGGTGTCACTTCATGCATAAGGTGATTGTACTTTCTATTCATTTTGTTATACATCTTTAATATGTTCTCACTTTCAACGTTATGTCCTTACGGAGGCAATAGACGTTGGCATTTTGTTTAAGCTTTTTTTTTATTATTATTATTATAAAAATCGCACTCAACCTCTTTAGTTGCCGTAGTTTACTCCGTTGAAATCTCCTTCCATTTTCAACCGCTCAGCATCTCCTCCGCAGTAATGGCTTTTGGGCAGTTTGATTTCTCAAGCGTCGTCCGTTGGTCGCTTATAAATACTATGGCGCAGCTCTTCGGTCAAATTTCTGCTTCTGCCTTGTTCTACTTTGGTGATTTTTTCTCTATTCAACTAATTTGCCTTGTATCGTTGATTTATCTGTGCATTTGTGTGATTAGCCATCTGTTCTCCGCATCTCTGTTTCATTGTATACCTGCAATTTTCCTCTGTTTCGTTTAATTACTTCACCTTCCATGGAGATTGTTTGACATTTTTTTTTAATTCAACTCTGCCGCCTCCCAACTTTCTTTGTAACTATACTATTTGAGCTCTAATGTTTGTTTATGGTAGCAGTTTGGGGGGCTATAGTTGATAATTTCATCTTCCCATTGTGTAGTTTCAGTTTTTTTTTTGTGTCATGTATGTGTTTGTTTAAATGTCTACATGAAATGAAGTAATGCTTTGCTCTCAAACTTCTACTTATACCTGCCCTATTTTGTTTAAGTTTTTTTTTAAAAAAAACATCCACATCGATATACCCATCCTACTAATTCAGATAGACTAGCATGGAAGTCTAACAAAGCTACTTTAATCTTTAAGCACAAACATTAAAATAGCATTCATCTCATCTATTGTGCTAATAACTTTTTAAAATGTACTCTATAATATAAACTATGTGCTCCTTAAACCCCTGCAATAAAATCGAAAAATGAAGTTCTCTAGGACCCCTTTGGTCGGCCAACTTTTGAAAATAGAAAAGGTCAAGTTCTCTAGGACCCCTTTCATGAACTTCATAGATGTATCCTTCATGTCTTTAAAATTTGGATGTTTAAAGTTTTGAACTTTGAAATAAAGTTAGGATAACCCATTACTCTGTAACACCTTGTTTGGGAACTCTTGGGTTTAGTAGTTTGAGTGCCCGTTTGGAGGAGCAAAATAGGCTGAAAAGCCTGAATATTCACAAAAAAACACCAAACACTCCTCCTAGGGGCTGATATTGCTGATTTTTATTATCAGTTCAAAAAGTAGCCCAAGGCTTGCTTTTTTGGCTGAAATCTATTATGTTTCCGTTAACATATTACTTGACTTCTTTGTCCCTTACTTTTTGCAATAAAGCTTCATATGAATTTCGTATCAAAATTTTCAAGAGTTTCAAGAGTTTGTGCCATTGTAATACGGAGTATGTTTACTGCATGTATATTTCCTTTATTTTTGCAAAATGCCAATTGACACTAATGTTTAATTTATGTTCCTTTTTATTTATATGCATGTGATCTTGTTACTATAATTAATAAAGTTTAGTTTTTAAAAATAATTTTCTCATATTAGTCAAAAGGATTTTACCATCAAATCTACATAAATATAGTCAGAATATAAGGAAACAAATACCCTTTTGGTAATTATACATTCAATCAGCCAGTTCAGCCCAAATATTACCAAACACTTTCACTTCAGCAATTTCAGCCGTTGCAGCCGTTGCAGCCGTTGCAGCCGTTACCAAACAGGCCCTCAATAGGTTTCAGATGTGTTTAAAAGTTCAACTAATCATACGTGGAACTTTCAACCTTTCTAATAACTTTGTAATTGCTTATTTTCTTTTTCACCTGCTGTCCTACAAAGCTTACATTTCAAGACAATTGGGACAATAAATCATCATTAGGTTCTATTTCCAGGATTGTCTTCTGTGTTTTACGGGTTTACACTTCAGTAGATGCTAAAGAACTTTTGTTTCGTCTTCTGTTACAACAAGATTAAAAACAACATGGTTGATTTAAAGTGTGAAAAATAAAGAGGTTCGCATGAGAACTTTGAATGCCCTTAAAATCATAGAATCTATAAGGGAAGCAGTTTAAGGAAACGAAGGAGTAGGAATATTTGGTTCAAGTTTGGTCAATACAGAACTTTTTCCCTGTATTTTGTTTAAGACATTAAATCATAAATCTATTTCTTCCAGTGTTTCTCTTTTTAAAAACTTCTTCTGATTTTATTTAAGATGTTAAATCATAAATATTTTCTTTATAGTTAAATCTTTAACATTTGACAGTGGTCTGTTTTTAGATTGATAATAATTTTGAATTGAAAAGGATTTTCTGTATGAAATCTAAGGCTTACCCTTCCCGTCACTAATGTAAAAGTGCAAACTCCCCCAGACTTGAAATTCGAGCCGTAATGGACTGATTTTTCTAACTTGAAAAGATGGGGTACTATTGTCATCTTTTTTTTATGTGAAAAGATAATAAGTCAATGGAGGCAGATTGTGACACCGCACCCGAATGTCCTTGGAGATTTGATTTAAATATTCAAAGTTATGTATTGAATTTCCGATCTCCAAACAATTGTAAAACGATTAATGTTCTACGTAGTGCATGGTTGAATATCGTACTGTTCAAACTCGTACATTAATGTCGGGTTTTGCAAATACTTATTCGGGACTTATTAATAAATAAAAGGGCCCAACATTATCTAAATAGTGATACATAATCTTTCAAGACAATTTGAGGAAGGTCGGGCGGCCCAAACATTATTTTGGGCCCAACCTGCTAAAAACAGCAAGTATTCGAGAATGGCGTTCTAGACCCACTCGGGAGTGACCCACACGGCTAGTAGCCCAATAATATGTATGAAAAATGTCAAATAAGTGATAGAATGATTAAAGAAGAATACAATTGCCTATAACCCCATCTTTGGCCTTATTGAGCTAAATAATGGGAGTAGGATTTTCCTTCTATAATATCCATCAAGTAAATTATTGGGATGAGCCTACACGTATTGGAGATCAATAATGCAATTTAGGAAGTTGACTTGTTCTAAATAAATTAGGATGAGTACAAAAAGACATCTTTGACAAAGATAAAACAATAGGACCCATCTTCCCATTTTTGGAAGTATTGGTAGATATTTTGGACCTCAATTTGATTGAGATCAATTGGGAAGCATTCCATGTGGCTTGAGTACCTGCAAGACAAGGAAAATATGTGAGAAGACTCACCTTGGCCTCACCACATGGACAAGCACTGCCCATGACACAATTGGAATCAAATTTTGGGGCCACCACCACTGTTTTCGCACAAACAGGTGTGCTGTTTTGTCTCCCTTCATTTTGAGGGTTGTACTCGCCCAAATAGCTTGATTAAGGTGTCCTTGGATAGACTTTGAAGTCTATTTTCATTATTGAGTGGTCTCTGTTCGAGAGGAGAGGGTAATCATACAAAAGTCGAGCTGGAGTGAGCAGGGGTCTGTAAACTCGAGCTCTGAGAGTGCTGAAGCTGTTTGGTGGATATCTCGACTTATACCAATCCAATTAAGGCGTATAAGATACCAAAAGAAATCTCTCAAGACGAGGAATCCGTGAAGGTCTGGTTTGCATCAATCGGAGTAGTGGAAGGCTTCCAAATCGTCCGAGCAAAACGCAACCTCGCAGAAACGGATCTACTCCTCTAAAGTGAGTTGTTAACCCCAAAACCTGTCCTTTCATTTTCCAAATGATATGAAAGATTGGTGGAACTATTGTACACTAATACAAGTGTGTAATATGTCCTTGTAAAGTTATTTCATTGATGTAAAGGTTAGATACTAACCTAGAGTAAATCTTGGAAAACTAGGAAACGAGCTAACCGGAAAACACCCATTCTAGGGGCTGTTTTCGTATCAACGTTTGAGGGTTGAGCTAGCACTTTGAGGAGGCTGTTTAACACTCATAATTAAGTAAGGAATCAGTTCTTAATCCACCTTGGCCAAAGCTTTGACCATTGGATCAAGAAGGAAAAGTTTAAAGCTCAATTAAGGTGAGGACCGACATCTAGTTGCTTACAACTTGTAGGTTATGCATGAGATTACCTAAATGTTTAAATCATGTTTTTGTGAATAAATATGCTTGAACATGATGTGAATGATAAGTAATGTACTTGATCATGAATTGAAACCATATTGAAGAATATGGAGTCATATGAGATAGAGGTATGCTAATATGGTAAATTGACCTTTCCAACTAATGTATGAATGTGATGTGTATGTAAATGTATAATTGCATGATGATGCTTGACACATGGGAGGCTGCCACATATCTATTGATATGGAGGAGCTACCATTAATGATAAATGAGTTGTAGGAATAATCTTAATAGTATTGTGATGCTAGTTAAGGATTGTTCTAAATGTCGATAGAATCAACCTTAAGGTTTGAGTTGTTTGTGATGAACTTGAATAAGATTCAACTGTCAAGTGTGATTTCATGGAGTAGGAGATATATGGTGTGATTGTATGAAGTAGGAGATCTATGGTGTGATTGCATGAAGTAGGAGATCTATGGGGTGAATACATGAAGTAGGAGATCTATGATATGATTACATGAAGTAGGAGATCTATGATGCGAGTACATGATGATGTACTCGAGCCGAACTCTAGAAATGGGAAGTTATATTAGGGTTGGACCCTATGTATTGTCGTGACTATTAGTCACGGGGTTTGGGAAATGTTTTGTAATAAACATGGGCCTTTGAGCCGACTACTTGACTTTATATAAAGTAAGTATATATTTTGAAAAGGGGTAATTTGGGATTACGGCCTAAACTATATTATCACCCTATTTGAGGGTCTTGTGTGTGAAATACTTGTTGTATATCTATTAGATGCCTGCCACACCAGTACTTTATAGCCGTATAGAGTACTGACCCCTTCGGGGGCGTCCCACCACCATTTCAGGTTGAGGCTAGAGCTTGCATCCTGTGCTCGTTGATCGAGTGATTCCTAGGAGAGAAGACTTGGTTCGTGCTTCCTCCATTCCATTTGAAACATTAATAAAATTGCTCATGGATATTTTACTATAGAGCCTGCGTGCTCATGAAATGCCTTGTGTGGCCTTCTTGTTTTAGACAATGTTTTCCGCTGCGTTATGAATTACTTATTATGTTTGTTTATGGATGTATACGTGTGAATGATATTCAAGACGCCTTGTATAATATGAATATGTTGGACTGCGGTTGACTATTCGTATTGTACGGCGGATTGTCGACGTGTCCGGGGAGGTCCGGGGCGTGACAATTAAGTTGGTATCAGAGCCTTAGTCCATAAACTTCATAATGAAGTCTCAAAATTCTCTTTTTGAAAAGATTTTGAAAACCATGAGCATAGAAGTTTTGTACTTGGAGAGCTTTTGGTACTTGGGTTGCAAGGTCTCTAATTGTTAAGATGGTACCCTTAGCAATTGGTATGGCGGTGACTCGAGCCAAAATGTGTCTTAAGTACCTATCCGTCAATTGACATTTGATACGAGTCTAACGACTCTTTCCAAATTTCTTTCAGAAATGGACCGTGGTGGCAGGATTACTAGGAGAAACCCGACGGGCCGTGTACCAGTGGAGACTGGACAGGGCAGTCGAGGGACCTCTAGGGCATCTAGAGGAGCTGGCCGTGGAGGCCGATCACAGACCGTGAGTGACGGTCATGTTGACACAGAAAGTGAAACCTACCGGTCCTATGAGGACTCGACTTACCAACCGGAGACCGAGCAGGTTGAGACCCCTTACGAAGGGGATGACGATGATGTAAGTGATGAAGAAGGGGAGAATGACTCCCTAGCCAGAATTGAGGCGCTGCTCCAGCAATATCAGCGGGAGCGCGAGGAAAGGAGGGAACGCCGAAGGCGCCGAGGAGGGCGAACTTCGGGAGGGGCTTCAAGAGGAAGAAGCCATGGCGACTCTAGAGCCCACATTGAACCACACGGGGGCCGGGGTGATGGAGGTCCGATCATAAGGATCTCCAAATACCTCAAAGAGGCACGAGACTTGGGGTGCAAACCCTTCAATGAAGCAGGTGACATCTCGGTCGCCGCGGAATGGATCAAGAGGTTGAACGAAGCAGCCCTTGATATGCAACTCACCCCCGAATTCAAGCTAAGAGTGGCAGTAAGATTGCTTGAAGGGATGACATCCACATGGTGGGATGGAGCCAAGGGGAAGTATGGCAATGTTGTGACTTGGGAGAATTTCCGACAGGAGTTCTTTGCCCAATACTATTCTGATTTTGAGGTGAACAATAAGAGGAGAGAGTATACCCTCCTAACCCAAGGTGGCAAGATGACGGTGAGGCAACTTGAACACAAATTCAGGGAACTCACGGAGTTCATACCGGAGTATGTCTGTGATGAGAACCGGATGGTAAATCACTTCTGGGATGCCTTAGACTTGGAGGTGCGTGAGAGGGCAACGCAGTTGCCTAACATGACTTTTAGCCAGGTGGTCGAGCAGGGATTGAAAGGGGAGAAGGAATGGGAAGAAAGAAAGATGAAGAACGCCGAAGAGGCGAAGAAGAGAAAATGGGAGAGTCACGGCTCCCAAGGTTCCAACAAAAAGGGGAACCATGGAGGGGGATCTTTCCGTGCACCGCCGCCACCATCTAGGGGCAACCAGGGCTCGAGCAGGCATGACTCGGGGTCACAAGCCTCGGGGACGCCTCGTTGCTTGAATTGCAAGAAGAGTCACCTCGGAAAATGCCATGAACCTCCTAGATGCTTCCAATGCGGGAACACCGGGCATTTGAAGGCGCATTGCCCACAATTGGGTGGGCCAAGGTCATCGGGACCAAGTAGCGGGGCTAAGGGAACAAGAAACCAAGCCGGGGGTTCCCAAGTAACCAGGGGGCAAGGGGGAGCAAGCGCGAGCAACGCGCCGTCCGTGAACCAAGGAAGGACCCAGGCTAGGGTCTACGCGATGACGGAGGCGGATGCTCAAGCTAACCCGGATTCCGTTGCAGGTATTACCTTTTTTATACTTGTGTTTTACCCTTGATTAGTCCATAAATTGAGGTTGCTAGTCGTTGGGATCATTGCACGAAGTTTTGGGGTCAAACGGAGCGAAATCGGGCGAAAGACGGCTGATTTTCGCCAACGCACACCAGGCTGGACCATACGCACGGTCGTGCGTTGTCCGTGCGTTGGTCCGTGCGTTGGTGGCAGTAGCCACCGGGAATAAATTGCTATACGCACGGCCGTGCGTTGTCCGTGCGTTGGTGGCAGTAGCAACCGGGAAGAAATTGCTATACGCACGGACGTGCGTTGTCCGTGCGTTGGTCCGTGCGTTGGTGGCAGTAGCTCCGTTTTGAGGTTATAAGACACGCACGCCGTGCGTACCTCCTAGGCACGCCGTGCGTACCTCCTGGGCAGCCCAAAGTCGACTTTTTCGCGCCGTATTGCAACGTTAAGACCCGTTCTTGATCCCAAACACGTGTGTGAACATAATAAACCTCTCTAAATGTATAAGAATGGTAGGAAAGGTATCTCACATGACTTATAAATGTAGGAACACTAAAGATTAATGGGAAGCATGCGCGAATCCTTATCGATACCGGAGCGCAACGTTCATTCGTAAGTGAGGCGTTCGCCGAGGGCTTAGAGATACAATCAATACCAATGACGCAAACTTTAGTGGTATCAACACCACTAGGGGAAGACGTTGAAAGAACCAATTACTATCCATCTTGTATGGTGGAAATCGGTGGCCAAACCTTGACGTGTGATTTCGTACCGCTGAGTATGATGGAGTTCGATGCAATCCTAGGGATGGATTGGCTAGAAAAGCATCATGCTAGGGTAGATTGCTACACAAAGGTTTTGGAACTTGAAGGCAATGATGGGGATACCCTGCGCTTCGAAGGGGGACCGAGGCAAATCAAACAGCTGTATCATATCCGCTGTGAGAGCGAGAAGTATGATGAGAAAGGGATGTCACGCTTATCTGGCATACGTGGTTGACAAAACCAAGGAGGAAACGAACATCGACGACGTGAGGGTGGTTTGTAAGTACCCGGATGTCTTCCCAAAGGACCTGCCGGGGCTTCCACCTGATAGGGAGATTGAATTTGTGATCGAGGTCGAGCCCGGCACCAAACCAATCTCCATACCGCCATACCGTATGGCACCCGCTGAACTTAACGAGTTGAAAACCCAATTGCAAGAGCTTTTGGATAATGGTTTCATTAGACCAAGCCACTCCCCGTGGGGAGCACCGGTTCTTTTTGTGAAAAAGAAAGATGGGACACTTCGAATGTGCATTGACTATCGTCAACTGAACAAGGTCACAATCAAGAATAGGTATCCTTTGCCTAGGATTGATGACTTGTTTGATCAACTACGAGGAGCAACCGTGTTTTCGAAGATTGACTTGAGGTCGGGGTACCATCAATTGAAGATTAAGGAAGATGACATACCAAAGAGTGCTTTCCGCACAAGGTATGGGCATTTTGAGTTCCTTGTTATGTCGTTTGGGTTAACAAACGCCCCAGCGGCATTCATGGACTTGATGAACCGAGTATTCCATAAATACTTGGATCGATTCGTGATTGTGTTCATAGATGACATCTTGATTTACTCAAAGAGTGAAGAAGAGTACGCGGAGCACTTGATACTTGTTCTAGAGACACTACGGGAGAAGCAACTTTATGCCAAATTTTCTAAATGTGAATTTTGGCTAAAGGAAATTGGCTTTCTCGGGCACGTGGTTTCGGGATCGGGAATTGCTGTTGATAACAAGAAGATAGAGGCCATTACCGAATGGAATAAATGGTAGGTACACAGAGCCCATGATCTTAAAAAAAACTGAAACTTAGTGAAAGACAAAAAGTTCTGGTGGTTAAGCTTATACATCTAGATCTACAAGATAATGCTACTAATCAGTAACCACTAAAAATGTTTTGCCATGCCTATTGATGATTGATTTTTTCCCTACAAATGACACTATGAAGTTGCGATATGGATCCAAATTCATTCGGCTCAGTTCGGTCACCAGATTGTAAAACACCCTTAAGTTTTTAATCCTTAGCCTTATGATATTTCATATTTTCTAGGGAGTATAGTATTTCATTTTTAACTTGAGTCAAGTATTTTAATAAAGATTTCCCTTACGGTTTGGCCATAAGAAGCGTGTTGTAGCATTGGGTCCTGAAGTGAATTAGAGGCTTAAGAGACTTTAAAGCATTTGGCTCATGTAGGGTCCTAATTTAATCCATAACACATGTCCTTTTCCGATTGGTTTTTCTGTGATGGGATTTCCTCAATTGAGGAACTCAACTGGCTACTATATCTGTATATATGTACATAATAAATACATATTATGATTTCAAGCGAGAGAAGATACTCACTAATATCTTAATAAAAAAATATTTGATCATTGTCCCATTCTTATCAATTGTCATTCTGCTGGAAAATAGGGCCCTAAACAATCCTGGTTCAATTCCATGATATGTGGATTTCACATCAATGGTTTATAGATCTTCTGAAAAAACCTAGAATTCTAACTCATTTGGGAGGGGGTGAGAGGTCTTTATTTTAAACTCCAGCAGCTAAAAAAGACCTCAAAGAACGGAACAAAATCATATTCTGAAACATGTTCAATAATATTCAATTCATAGGAGGGGAGGTGGCTAATGCAAAATTAAAATATGAACCGTTCCTGCTGACTCAAATAAAATAGTATGAAACTCTAAGAAAGCTATTTTGATCTTTGAGCACAAACATTAGATGTGAAAGCTGATGGAATTGGTCGGCCAACTTTGCAAAATGGAAAAAAACAGGTTCTCTAGGAAACCTTTCAAACAGTTCAGAGATGTATCCTTCATGTCTTTAATCTTGTGTCACTGTTCCGCTATTTGTGGTTTCTAGATAAGGGTGTAAAAGCCCCTTTAAGCGTATCTTCAAACCTGTTTTACTCATAAGCGACCTGACTCTTTTAATTAATATTTAAAGGTAAATAATATACTCCCTCCGTCCCGAAAAGGTTCGCCAACTTTGACTTTCACGTGGATTAATAAAGTAAAAACTGTGTGATTGAAATTTGTGCAGAAAAGAGAGAATTAACTTTAGCCACATATTCCTTACTTTAAATGGAAATGGCAAATCTTTTTGTGACATCCAAAAAGGGAAATTTGGCAAACCTTTTCGGGATGGAGGGAGTATGTGTTTAAAAGCCTCTATATTATATGCTGTAGTCAGAGGCTAGGAAAAAACCTCTATATTATGTTGTAAAAGCCTCTATATTGTATGCTGTAGTCAGAGGTTTGCTTCTTCATTAGCAACTCATTCTGTCACTGATATCAAAACAGTTCATCATAGGAATAGATACTTCACATGGTGGTTTTGAAAATATTTTTGTCACAGTTGAGAAAACTGTCAAATAGTTTTTTTCCTAGGCTGACCGCACCCTATCACCATATGCTTCCCCCTGTTTGTATCATTTTCAGTTTTTCCCTTTTTGGAGTAATTTAACCTTGTATGTGTTTTTTAAAACCTTGTTTAGGCTGAAGAGATTGTTGGCAGTTTGAGCTGAGCGAGTTTTGTCTGGGGTAAGCTGATTTTCTACATTCCATTTTACGTATGCATATCTTGTGTGTTGTTTTGGTTAGGCTTTCCAACATTGTTTCCTTAGAAAAAATTAATGATCGGAATAAATTATGTAAAAGTGTTTACATAATTTAAATGTAAAGATCAAAACAATCGGCTTTATAAGCCTAGACTAGAAACATATTAATAAGCAGTACAATCCAACCATTTCAGGCAACCAATAGCAGTAGCTCCTCAACTACCATACATGTGATTAGGGTTCAGTGCTTAATATCAACTACACAAAGTTGCAAAAATATTGCTTCGGAAATACTAGGTGCTTAACCTCACCAATTCTGTTTAGGTATTATTGGTGAGGTTATAAAGGGACATGATGTTGGTGTAACAGGCATGCGTGTTGGGGATAAAAGAAGACTCACCATTCCACCAGCTATGGGGTATGGAGAAAACGGTGCTGGAGCGGCTATACCACCAAACTCATGGCTTCTTTTTTATGTCGAGTTAATTAATGTAAATTGATTCATGTAAATTGATTCACCCGTATTCTCTCTTTGAAAGTGTCATCTTTTTCCCTTTTGGCCTCCTCTTTCTTTTTATTAGCAATCAATTTTGAAACATTTTGTAATATTGCAACTATGTTATGAATTATTGAACGTTTTGTAGGGTGGACTAGAGATATGATTTTGCTCTCTTCTGGTTAAAAGCACATGTTAAAGTTTTGATCAGTTGTGTTTTTATTTGCTTATCTTGTTGTGTTTGTTATGCGTGTTTTCATATTAACAACACAAATGCATGCTTCTTTTGATGTGAATTTTACTCCTACAGTCCTACTATCTACACAGATTAGTATTATTGTCATCTTGGTTGCTTTATTTCCCACATACAATCTAGCCTACAAATACTTTATTGATTAGGATTCTTTATCAATACATAAGAAGTATGTATTCAAATATTGTAATCATATTACTCATATTGACTCAATATAAACCAAAGAATTAATATACCTACAATGGCCTTGGGCATTATCACGAACGCGCAACGCGCGTTACTAAACTAGTCTAAAAACTTATAAGCTTCAATCAATGTTGTAAAAGGCGCTGGACGCTAGTCGGGTGTCAGCCCAGCGCTCAATGCCTAGGCGGGCTCCTAATCGAAGACATCTAAATTTTTGTCTATATTTTGCATAAGTATGATAAGTAATGTTGTATTTTGTGTGTATAAAATACATATATACTCATACTGACATACTTCACAAACATGAATGATAAAATTGTGACATTTAATCATATGTAGTATATGATAACCAATACCTTAACTTCATTATGTTATAATATATAAATAATAATAAAATTTAGGTGTGTATGCAAACATATATACTACTAGTTTTTATCTTAATTTACAATTTATTTTTTTATATTTGTGGCTAAAGTTAAAGTATTTGTATCGCTCAATGAAGATGTTTGATCATTGTGAAACAAATTTTAAGTATTTATTTAAAATCGATCGCAAATCAAAATATATGATAATATCGGGTTCAATCTCTAAATAATTTTTTTGGAAGAAGGTGGCTTATATTAATAAGAATGAACGAAAGCAGGTTACAAACAGACAAAGAACCACCCGTCTACTGTCTGCCCTTGAACCAGACTTGGAATCTGCCACCTCAAAAGAAGCAACCAGATTCGTTGATCCTGAATTGGGCATACCTGAGCCAGTGACTGGTAAACTAGGCTCTCCATCACCTGTCCTAAGTTCAAGAGTTCTTTTGCCGGAAAAACACGGCACAACCAAAACAGAGTAAAGAATCCAATAAAAACGAAACATAGGGAAAACTAAAAAACATAATAAACTTCTTGGACCCTAGCACCTTCTTCAACCCCTGGCGGTGGTTCAGGCGGAGGCCGGACCCTCGCTATGAATGTTGATACACCAAAGTTGATTTCCTCCGCTTCGGCCGACTTTTCTTCATCACCATCGATCACCCCTATGCCTTCGCCATGGTTCTGTCTGATCTGCCCTGAAGGATCACTGCTCTGCGCCACCGTTCCCAGTGAAGAAATCTGTTGGAACCGCTCTATATCTCCAAACCCGATGTCTTCGATCGTCGCCAACCGAGCCGCACCAGAAGCTTGCGAGAAACGAAACCCTCCTAGAGGGAAGGTCGTTGCAGTCGATAGCGCCGCTTCGCACCGCCCCTGCTGCAAGAACCCACGCCCCCACTGCAATCGTGTCGCTTCACATCGCCTTCGCACCGCTTCGCCCAACCCTCGCACCTCTGCGCTCGATCTCGCCGCTGCACCCGACATAGCCCCAAACCTTGCCGAACATAAAAGTCGGCACATTCCAAACCCTATGAGAGAGAAGGCCGCAATCTACACTAAATCGGTTCAATGTCTAAATATGCATCCTCTGATTCTTCACTTTCAATTTAAAGAATTCTTCAAATATTCGAACGTTATTCAGATCTTCAAGACTTTGTTCTTGAAATCTTCGTTTTTTTATCTTCAAACCTCCAAACCATCATTTTTCAGATCTTCGAATCTTCAAAACTTTGTTTTCTATATCTTCAAATTTCGTTCTTTGAATATTTGAATGTAGAATTCAACTTGAAAACCTCTCTTTTCAAATAGCTTGATTTTTAATAAAAGAGTCGTTTTTATGGCTTGATCTTCCGTTGAAACGCTTTCCAAAAATATGGCTTCATCTTCAATTGAATATAGATTCAATCTTCATATCAATATCTTCAAATTTTCAAAGGTTCTTCAAATCTTCGAATTTTCAAAGCTTTATTCTTTAGATATTCAAATCTTCGAGCTTCGTTCTTCTACTTTTCGAACGTTCTTCAAATTTTGAACTTATTTTCACAAGAATGAACGAAATTATCGGTATATTCTTAATAAAATTTGTGGCTTAATTTATTTTCCTTTTTTGGAGTTATTTAGAGCCTCTCCGGAGTTTTTTTAAATATTCTTGGGAGCGTTTTTTCGTGTGGGAATTATCTCATCTCTTCTCTCAACTGAGACGCCTAATTAAAGAGGTGAAGGGGATGAAATATGCATTAAAGATCTTAAATTTTGTCCATATTTCATGGGCTTCAGATGGAAAGTCTTCGGGACCCATTTACTTCCATTTTCATAGTTAGGAAAAACACTTGTGAGATGTATCTGGATAGCTATTTGATGGATAGTGTACCCGGGGGTAGCTTATCCGAAGGGTTATTGCGGAGAGTAACTAGAGAAAAGTCAGAGCAAACAAGTAAGAGAGAGAGAGCCAAGTATATTAAATGAACTTGTTCTTGGATCCTTTACCAGAGGAATAAGGGTTGCTATTTATAGCAGCCATAAATGCGATGAGAGTACACGTGTCAACAATCCAATGGCGGAGGGGTCACCTCAATCGGGGTGGCACCGGCACTCGCATGTGCACCGCATTAAATGCGGTGGTTGGACGTGACGCCGCATTAAATGCAGTGGTTGCTTGTCTCCAAATGGAATCTCTGATGATCGAGCTGTCAGCCGAAGGCTCCCCCATAGCCCCGGCTCTTTGCAGTCGAAGGCTTGGTGTAGCTGAAGGCTACTTCTATGCCGAGGGCATGAAGATGCTAAAGGCTCCCAAATTCAGTCATTTTCTCCCAGTAGCTTTGTATGCTCAAATCTGGCTGGCTTGTGAGTTTTGAAGCCTTCGGCCATGGTGCCGAAGGCATCCTCCCGGTGTACCGTGGGTTCCTTCGAGCTTGGGCCGCAGTGCTTTGGGCCCCATGTGCTTCTTGGGCCTGTTCGGCCTGTGTTGGAGTGGTAGGAGTCTGTGGGCCGGGGGTTCCCGGGCCATATACTCCATCACTATTTAAACATGGTCCATCGCTATTTCTCACACATATGGATGGATTTCTTAACTAGATTCATTGCTCCCTTCATAAATTGGATCATGTCTATTATATATTGGGCCACTATTTAATAGTGGGCTCAAAATAGAGATTAATAGAGTCAGCCCATTACTTTAGAAATTGAACTAATTGGATATCTTTAAATGATCCAAATTAATTAATCCTTAAATTTGTTCCCAAGGGACCCATATTACTATCTTTCTCTTGATAAGGCCCAACCACCATCACGAGTAGTCCATTAGAATTCGACATTGACCCGATAACATTCAAAGGGGGCACTATAAGATGTAAAATAGTCCGATAGCATTTAACTGTCACCGCAGATGCCCCAATAATTTTTAAATGTCCATGACCGGTTTGAACTTGCAAGCATACAAGTGCCGATATAGTAATAAAATACCGGTAAATACTGGGTCAATCCACATGGAAATGGTTGATATTATAAAGTCGAATATTGAATGCAAAAGAATATAAATGGTATAATTTTTCAGGAATTTTGTTCTTTGAGATTGGTTTAAACAAGAATGAGATCACTAAGACAACCGGAATTCACCTAAATGCTTTAATAGGTATTTAATAATTGTTCTTTCCCAATAATCATGAATACGATGTCGCTAATATATTCTCAACTCCGGTTAAGGAAACGAGAGCGTGAGTTTCGTTACGTGTAAGTCCCGTTACGGCTTACATTCATCTACCGAAAACCCCGTTGAATATCAAGACATCACATCCGTATCATATAAGACCGGATATATTTCTATTTTCGGTACTGTATATGTTTATCCTTTAATATTCATAGTTTAGACTTCAACGTTAATTGTAAGCATAAACTAAATTAACATACTTATATGTTGTACACCATAGTCATAAACAATCAAAATATAAAAGATAAATCACAATTTATTGGTTTAGAACTTTTATCAAACACCTAGTGGGCATAGAGGTTCATCCCTAACCTTGGCTAAGAAATTAGACTCTGATGCTCATATTAATCACAATACAATATTGAAATGTAATGGAACATGAAATTACAAAGGAAATAATACCTAAACACCAATGATTTCGGAGGTTGAAGTTTCCTCCTCAAGAACTTGAAGAAAATTAGCAAGAACAAAATATAAAAGCTATGAATTAAAGATCAATGCTACAATTCAAATCCCTCTAGGCACACAAGGGTTAGAAACTCAATGAATTGAGTTTCAGCCATGATTACTCCAGGCTCCCCTCAGTCCCCCTCTCCCAGACCCCCCTGGAGTAAAAAAAACTATAAAAAAGGCTAGGAATTAAAGTATGGAATGGAATGTTGATGTTTGATGAATTGAGGAATTTATATACGCTAAAGAATGACATATTCTAGTCTATTCAAGCCCAACAATCAGGTATGGAGCAGTATTTGATCAAGAAATGAGGAAGATGAAGTTTTCCCATCAAATATCCTCTTGCAAGGTGGACTGTTTTGTGCAGAAATCGCCCCCACCGGCGCCGGTTATGTCCCGACCGGCGCCGGTTATGTCCCGACCGGCGCCGGTTATGTCCCGACCGGCGCCGATTCAAAACAGGCTCATTTTGCTCGGAAAAAACCACATGACCGGCGCCGGTTGTGGGCTGACCGGCGCCGGTTGCTACGCCAAAAGATGTACTCCCTTCTCTTCCTCTTTTATGATCAAAAAGTTGTAGATAATGAAGTTTTCTATCCACCAAAACTTGAATGATGTGATTTTATTCATCCAAACAAAAGATATGGATAAAACACTGAGAGATATGCATCCAGAAATCCGATCAGCAACATCTGACTTTATTGGTTGATTGAGTCTTGTTCCTTTCATATTCTGCCCATGACGTCTTCATAACATTTGTACCTTACTGAGTTATCATTTACATGAAATTCAAATCGAGTGAATTCGAGTTCTCTACGATAAGTTATACTCAAATTATGGGCAGAACGTCATCCTCTTGGTCCCAAAAGCCGTTCATCACAATGTTTTGTGCTTTAGCTCTCATTCTGAAGGTATTTGTCCGATTTCTCTTCTTTTCTTCAACAAATACTTATAAATACTTATGTTAAACAAAAGTAAATATAACGACTATCAGTCCACAATCACATAATCTCAATGCTCAATATAGAGGACACGATACACAATGGAGATATTTTGATAGTCAATAAGTTTTGAATTTTTTATACTTAACTGCAAGGTTGAAATGCTCAATAGTGAAAAAAACTCTTTTGAATAAGAGGTTAACATTCTTATTTTAAATAGGAATGAAAAGAACATTTTTAAACAACATTTTTAACTACAGAGTGAAAAAAACTCTTTTAAATAAGAGGTAAACATTCTTATTTTAAAATAAAATATATTTAATTTTATTTTTTAACTTTATAGTTTTATAGAGTCATTTCTTTAGTCGTAACCAAAGCTAATACAAGAAATAATCTTCAACTATTGAGGCAATACCCAAATTAGTCTCAAAGAATAAATTTGGTCAGTTTTAGTTCACATAAGATGAGATCAATTCTTTTTTCTGCATATCTTAACCTGAGTACTTAGATTCTCTGTAGGCAAACAATTTTCTTTTGTGACCAACAAAGCTTTGTTGCAAATATTCTGATTTGTATCATAATCCCATAGATCTTTCACATTGTGCGGCCTTTCCCTCACGTAGGGATTAATTTTGCACCAACCGTTCTAGGCTTGCGCGGCCATAGAATTTCAGCCTCGTGTATCCTGCATGCTTTGTTTTTGTTCGCACGTTCGTCTTACTGCTCAACACGGCAAGAAGAAATCATGGAGTCTGTTAAGATCTGGAGTTCCATCCTAAAAGGTCAACCTATTAGGAGGGGTAGTTCATATCTCAATATAGTGTTTAAATCTTTCAGAGATATCCGGTGTGTGACTTTTAACATCCCACCTCACGATCAGACATTTCGTCTGGATCGTGTCATCTTTCATTTTTTCATCGGATCGTCATTGTCGATATTTTATAACTGTGTCGTCATTTTTTATAAGGGGTCCACACCATGGATCAATTTGGCTCTGATACCATGTTAAGACTCGGGGTTCCATCCTAAAAGGTCAACCTGTTAGGAGGAGTGATTCAGATCTTAATATAGTGTTTAAATCTTCCAGAGATATTCGGTGTGTGCCTTTTAACAGAGTCCATCATTAACCAGCACGACACTTAGCTACACGACGACTTCTCCTACAATTTTGATTGCTCAATAGCAGAGAATGTTATGAACAAGGAGAAAGGAGAGGAAGATGTAATATTGTCAATCCGTCCCCTTCCGAACCACCACCATGGAGGACTCTTGTGATTGGGATTTGGAAGATCTTAATTCAAGTTTGGATTTTTTTTAATTGTCTGACTCTTTTTTTTTCCGGTTCGAACTGTGTGTTCTTTTGATTGTTTTCTTTATTTCCATTAGGAGAACTCTAAAGTTTAGATTGAGTGATGAAAGGTTTATTGCGTCAATCATTGGTTGAGTTAAGTCCATTATATGATCAGCGAGTCATATTGCTAATAGTCTCTAGTCCATTATACGATCAGCGAGTCATATTACTAATGGACTCTGAGTCTGGTTCGAGAGCAGACAATTACAAATAGACTTTTTTGTATCTTGACTGAATTCAGATTATTCAATATAAGTCATTTTCTGTAAAAAAAAATTACTACCTCCGTCCCAAATTGATTTGCAAATTTGACTTTTCTTGGTCAAACAGTTTCATTTTATTTGCTTAATTAGGATGTCAATTTTTAATGATATTCTAATTTGAATTTTGTAACTTTGAAGAGAATTTAATGTAGTTTCTTAATTTGTAAATTTTAATTATTAAAAATTGAGTTAATTATCACTAAAGAGGTTTGACTTTTATTATTGGTTGACTAAAAAATGTTGACTTTGCAAAACAATTTGGGACGGAGGGAGTATATATTATCACAAACACTTTTTATTGTTTCAAATTTAGAAGGGAAGGACTAAAAGGTACTACCTCCGTCCTTTAAAACTTTGCCATATTTGACTGACACGAAAATTAATAAAGTAAAAACTGTGTGGTAGAGATTTGTGTAGAGGAGAGAGAATTAAGTGGAACCACAAATTTCTTTACCTAAAAGGGAAAGTGACAAAGTTAGTGGGACATCCAAAAAAGGAAAATTGACAAAGTTTTAATGGATGAAAAGAGTATCAATTTGACAATATAGATAACTAACCAGGGATTTTACAATATTTGTTATGAAATGTTTTTGTATATAGAAATCCTTTAAAATCCTCCCTAATCCAATTCGGGAGCTCCAAAAAAATCCTCCTCAATCCAAATCGGGGACATCCCTGATTTTGAATTGTGAGGCTCAAAGTGTTTAACCTGCACCATCTGCAGTGTATAGTAGACAGTAGTAATGAGCAAGAAAGACAGAGCGAAGGAGAGAAGGGAGAAGAGACGCCAAGAGTTATGCCATCTTCGATCCATTCCCTATTCAGATCACGAAAGGTACAGAGAAAATTTCATAAAAGTTCAATCTTGACGCAATTCACTTTTTCAAGTCAATTCTCTTAAAACTGCTTATTGTAATCGGCTAAAGTTTTGTTAAGCATGTTAAGTGTGTGAACATTTCGGTTTTCGGATTGAAGTGTTTAATGTAGGTGGAGAACACTGCACACAGATGTATTTATCAGTTTCAGAGTGATAATAGCAAGGGGAATTTGACTCTGCACCCCACTTTTTGCCTGAAATTGAACTTTTCACCCCATTTTGAAAAAACTTTGATTTTGAACCCCATTCCACCTAAAATTCCTTTGACTTTGCACCCCATTTAGAATTTTTTTTCACAAAATGGTATGTGTTGGGTGCAAAGTCAAAGTTTTTTAAAATGGGGTGAAAAGTCCAATATCTGCAAAGTCAAATCCCCTAATAGTAAAGTGTCAAGCATTTTGATCCTTCCCTTTTATAGAGCAGCAAGAGAAGCAAATAGTTTGTATTAGGGGCTCTCAAATCCAAACTGGATTTTATAAAATACGTAGTACTAAACTTGAAAGTCTATTTTAGATCCAATTATTATCCAACCACACAAAAATGATACATAGTACGAAGTATATAAATTACTCATAAAAAAGTTCCAGAAACAGAATGGTTCTTGATCCTAACACTTTATTGTTAACCTTAGAAGTTTATTTTATCACTGGCTTTGAGTTTTTTTCCAGTTAGTCTTGTGGCTATTATGTTATTGTTTTTTTGGTACCATCTTTGAAATTTTCTACATTCAGTTTTCATACTGTGTTGTATACATCTTTTACTTTTAGTCTGATTAGGCACTTTTAGGGCTTTTTTTTTTAAATGCCCGGTGGTAATCCAAAAAACCCGAAGATTCTTTGGGGTAGGGGCCAGGGAACACCCTACCGATTTATTAGGAAGAAAGAAAATTACAAAGAGTAGGAGGGCCAAACCAATGCCTACTCTAAAGATTAGAGAACATAAGGATAGCTAATGGCGTCAAACTTCAGGATTCCAACAAAATGAGTAAAATGATGATTATTGGTTTTAATAGACATTTTTCTATAGGCTAAGTACTCGGCCGCCCTATTGATAGTAGGGTGAATGTGGGTGATGGACCAATTGTTGCCTTGTATCTTGGGTTTCACTTCTTGTATCCGAGTCCAAGTCTTCCAATGCTGCATCTTCATACCAGTTAACCCATCAAAAATGTTCCTGTTTTCTACCTCAATCACAAAGTTGGTAAGATGCATATCACATATGGTCTTAAGAGTATCAATGATGGCATCATAGGTTGCCATGGTGTGATCATTGGTGTTAGAAATAAAGCTCATATGACCTCTATAGTTACCAACATCATCTCGAAAGAGAGCTGCTGTTCTAACACTCATGAATTACAACTTCAAGAAGCAAAAGATCATTGTTTTCATCATTTTGTGTTCAAAAACAATACTCCCTCTGTCCAGATTAAGCTTCTCACTTGCCACTTTTGGATGTCCCAATCTCAATCTCAAATATACTCCACAACCAGTTATCATCAATGATCTCATTATACTACGTATTACATATCCATCAAAACTACTACGTATCTCTCAAAATATACTCGAATAACCTTATTTTATTATTGTGTAAATAACCATGTCATATTTCAATGAGAAGCTTAAGTTGGGACGGAGGTAGTAATAGTTCTGTTTCATCAAATGTTTTTAGGCTTTAATTGTTTCTACCTTCAGTTCTTTTACTACCATGCAAGGACATTTCTAGTATCAAATTTTAAATTATTTCACTTTTAGTCCTCTTAATATAGCGGCACCGTGACACCTTTAGTACTTGTCTTTGAGTTTTGGCACAATAGTTGAAAAAACAAAAAAAACATTGTCACAATAATTGGAGGTAAGTATCATTGCGACAATAGTTAAAGGACCGGAAGTGAAAAATTCAAAGATGGATATCAAAGGAGTCATTGCCACAAGTGCCAAAGAACTTTCAGTGGAAAAAACTCTTAAACTCTGTTTGATTTTCCAAAATAGAGTCACAAAATGTTGACATGAAGTTTAAAAAATTCAGAAGTATCTGTTGATGATTTATGATCGGTGTACCTTTTCTAAAATTACAAAATTTCACCTCAATCAGCCATTCAGGCATTCCTCTGGCTTTGGAATGCATTAATAAATATTTTGCAACCTGTATTACAACTGGGCATCTGGTTGGTACCATCCATTGTTATCTATGTTATGTAATCGCCGAGTACTAGCCGAGTATTTTCTACTTGGGGCAGGGCCTTGTCGATTAGTACTCCAACTCACACTGTTCCATTTTTTCACGAAACTCCCCGAGTACTTGGTGATTTTCACTGCTCGATGACAAGGTTGACTTGCCGAGTTACATGGCAGTCATTTGGGGATAAATCTGAAAATTTTAAACTAAAATGGGTTATTATGGAATTTATGAATAATTAGTAGTTATGTTGAAAGTTGGAAAATTAAGAATACAAAGTCAGTCTAGGTATGGAGGCATGGAAGATGAAGAAGAAGAAGAAGACCTTAAACCCAATGAAGACGAGTTTAGGTCTTTAGTACAAAAGTTCTGAATTAAGTATTAATAGGTGATAGATTTTCTTGGAAGTTAGAATGTTTATGACTGATAAGATTTTTCGCTACTTCATTATTAGAATTATTATAATTTATTTATGTTTAAGAATTATAAAACTAATATATGACTAGAATTTTGGGGCATTGATGTTCTTAAGTTTAATTAATACAGGTCCGAGTAATCACCGAGTAATCTGTCCTACCAGTGGCTCGGGCGTTGGCCGAGTTGCCACCAAGTAGCGATTTAACTATAAAGATTGTTACATATACTATTTTCAAGTTTAGCTTGCGATCTATTATTTATGGCTGCTTATGCCACAACTTTTACATATTTTCGCTAATTTTTAATCCTGGGGCAGATAAACATGATGACACTCGCTCTCTATTTATCTACATATCATCAGGCCATTCTTGATATGGTGTGACTTTCTCTTATTTGATTTACTCTCTCCTATCATACTTTATGTATCTACTGATTATTAATACATTTGTCATTTTTGTTCAGATGGTGGACGCCAGACACAATTGCAGTTGTGACAGGTGGAAATAGAGGAATTGGATTTGAGATCACCCGTCAGCTAGGGACACATGGGTTGACAGTCATTCTTACTTCGAGGGACACATCATTAGGTGCAGAAGCAGCAAAAGCCTTGCAAGAAGAGGGGTTGAAAGTGGCATTCTGCCAACTAGATATTGTGGATCCTTCATCAATAGAGTCATTTTCTTCTTTGTTAAAACATCATTATGGCGGTTTAGATATACTGGTATGGTCGATTTTCTGGATTATATTTTTTGCAAGTAATAATATTAAGGCTTGTGTTCATCGCGTGATAGTAGTCGTATATTTAATATGTTTGTTTACCATGTTATATTTAGTTGATGTAAGATAAACTATTCAACAGCCCCTAATAATTTTGATAAGTTGTGAAGAATTTAACCATAAACAATCTCTTAACCAGCCCATCAAATAAGTGGAAGATTCATTAAACTGTGAAACATTACCCTGCCATAAGGTTAGACCCTGTTTGACCTAGATAAACGACTGAAATCGTCCAATATTTGGAGCATGAAGTGACAATGACTGCCTTTTGGGGGAATTTTAATACTTAATAAATTGCTCCGGTTGAACCTGAGGTTTTTGATGCATACAAGTATTTTTGTTTGAACGTTGATACCCAACTAATGGAATGCTTAGTCTTTCCAAGGCCAGAGACCAATACAAATATATTGTCAGTTAAACGATGTCCTCTGAATCGTAAAGGCGGGCACAAACCTTTATGGTCCCATACATTGTGTGGACCATGCAATTTTTCATAAGGGCACTTACCCTCACAGTTTGACTCCCTGTCTAGACTGCATTTTTATTTTTTGTATAGTGCGGCCTGTATTGTGGCTGTCGATCAGATTGACTCTCATTTCATGGGGTAGTCAACCTCATATGAGGAGTAGTCGAAGGTAATGTGTGATCGTTTATTATTTCATATTTAGCTGACATGAACATACTCTTTAACAATTATTGTTCTTTTGTAATGTTTTTTACTATATTATTTTGATTCTTTGGCCAAGTATTTCACCAATGCCTAGAAAACATGTAGGTAAACAATGCTGGAGTCAATTTCAATGTTGGCTCAGAAAACTCGGTGGAACACGCTGAAACAGTTATCAAGACCAACTATTATGGAACCAAAAATATGATGAAAGCTTTAACTCCATTGGTAAGGCATTCAAGTTCTAGCGGCAGTCGGATTGTTAACGTGAGCTCACGGTTAGGAAGACTAAACGGCAGACGAAATGTAAGCCAATTTTTCTTCTTTCAATACACTCTTACTCAATTTGGTCCCCAACATTCTTTTGGTTTTAATTTGGTCCTTGCTTATGCCATTTCGACTTATATCAATCCCTTGTAAATGTTTTTTGTTTATAAGAAGGTTATTTTCCTTAGACTATGATTATTGGATGCGGATAACATAGCTGAAGACAAAAGTGAGTCCTAAATTGAATAAGTGCAGGAAAGTATTCTTCACATTTAGGACTAGATATGTAAGATGACAAATTAATGTCCAAACTTAATTGTCAAAGACCAAATTCAGTCAGAAAGAAGTTGTGGTCTGTAAGAATCCCACATCCGAATTAGACATAAAATAATGGTAATTATACATTGAATTGAACTACCTAAGAAATTAACCTGTAGTGCAATTTGGCCTAAGCATCAAATTTTCTAGTTGAGTGACTCGAACGCAATCCCTAATTATATCATTTTTCATTTTCATTTACCCCAGTGCCGCAAAGGCTCCCACCTACGGTGGGCTAAGGGGGGGTCGGATGTACGCAGTCTTACCCCTACCCCTGTACTAAAGCACAGAGAGACTGTTTCCGGATGACCATAGTGAAAATCGCGTCCAAAATTGCATGGATTAACTGCTGCTTCATAACAAAGAAGCATAGACAGTTTAGTGAGCCATTTTGCTTTATTCCATCATATTTTCAAGCAAAAAAATAATGAATCTTTGGTTCCATTGCAAAAAATGGAAGCAATCCCGATTTATATGAAGCACAAAAATGAGTAATACAGAGTAATATATAGTCAGTGGGAGCAGTTGAATTTTCTTCCATTCATATAATGTTTCTTCCAAGAATTGTGAAAATTCCTCAAAACCTGTTTTTCAGCCATCCTAGTAGGAGCTTTAAAAATGCTTACTCCCCCCCCCCCCCCTCCCCCCTTTCAGAGAATTGGAAATGCTGACTTGAGACATAAACTGGAGGACATAGAAACCCTATCAGAGGAATTGATTGATCAGACTTTGAACACATTTTTAGAACAAGTAAAAGACGGAACTTGGGAAGCTGGCGGATGGCCTCAGAATTATACAGACTACTCTTTGTCTAAACTTGGAGTTAATGCTTTTACGAGGGTAATGGCGCGAGAACTTGAAGGTTGTGCTGAGAAAAAGATATATGTGAATTGCTGTTGTCCGGGTTGGGTGAAGACCGGAATGACCGGTTGGGCGGGGAATATATCTCCAGAAGAAGCGGCTGATACTGCAGTATGGTTAGCATTGCACCACCCCCACCTCTCTGCTAGCGGCAAGTTTTTCGCTGAGAGGAGAGAGATAAATTTCTGAGGGTTTGAAAGGTTTGATCAAGACATGATGGAGGGAGTGTCTTGTGATCTATGTATTTGTGGTTTTACTTTGACATTGATGCTTTGTGTAGGTTAATTTTATGGAGCATCTACGAATTCTCTTATATAGAACCTTGGCATCACCATCATCGCTGCATACTCTCTGAAAATGAAAGTCATGGCTGATGGTTGTGTCAGGAAAACCTTTATGATTCCATCAGAGTCATATGGTGCTATACAATACGGAGTAATATACTTGGATCGTAATCTGACTACCTGACTAGTTGAGCATGATGACTCTAATCGGTTTGCCAATACTTGGATCCCACACTTTGCCTTCGGCAGTTTGGCCGTTTCGAAATTCGAATCCCTGGTAATTGACCAAGGGTATGTTTGGAGGAAGGGGAAGACCTTGGAGGTATTTTGTTGAAGGGGAAAGGGAGGGGAGGGTGAGGAAACCCTTTCTATTTGAGAGTAATAAATTTGGAACGAAAAAGTTTTTGAATTAATTAAAATTAAAATTAAGTGAAAATTGCATATATGGTCCCTCAGTTATCCACAAAATTAAAATCTCAGACCTGTATTTCTGAGATTGTAAATGTCACCCCTCAATTGTCCAAAATGTTGTAAATGTGATCCTTTTGAGGGGTGAAATATGCAATGTGGGCAAGAGTACATTTTACTACTTAAAGGACCACATTTACAACAATTTTGACAATTGAGGGGTGATATTTACAATCTCAGAAATACAGGTATGTGATTTTAATTTCATGGATAATTGAGGGATCATATATGCGATTTTCCCTAAAATTAATTTGAGATATGACGATTTCAAATAATTGAATTATTTTTAATTGAGCTTACATTACCATTTCGTTAATAATCCTTCAAAACCCTCCAAATTGGGGAACTCAAAAATCGAGCATTTAGAGGTAGTCATGGACTCGGGCCTCCTAAAAGTGGAACCGGCCTGGAACTGGCCCAACCTATTTCTCTCTTTTTTTTTCCTTCAATTTTTTTGGTTTCTCCTTGGTTGGTCTGGGTGTTTTGGGGGGGTTTGGGGGGGGGGGGGGGGGGTGGGGGGGGTGGGGGTGGGGGTGGGGGGGCTCGGGGGTTAACCAGAAAAGAAAAAGAAAATTAAAAAAAATAACATAAACCGGCCCGGCCCGGAACTGCTGCCTACCCGGGCCGGTTCTTCCTTTCCCCAAAAAAAGCCCGGCCAGGCCCAGGCTCGAACCGGAACCGGCTCGGCCCGGCCCGAGTCCATGACTATTTAAAGGGTTTTGGGGGTCACGAAAGCACTCCAAAACCACTCCCTCCACTTTTATAAACTCTCAAACATGAAAAGGAGGGTCATAAACCCCCATCAACCTTCTCCTCTGAGTCCTCTCCTCCAAAACCCAACACCCAAACACACTCTAAGGTGCAACCTGAGTAAGTATATTGGTCATTAGTATATACTTATACAATAGTATTCTCAGACTCGTTAATCATTCAATCAGAAAAATAACTTAATCATTAAGTTGAAAAATAATAATGAATAATCTAAGACTTCTTTTCTGTCAATTTTTTAAAATTTTTAAAAATCGAGTGTGAAATAGATTTGTGTTAATATATGAAGTTTGTTATTTAAGATTAATTTTATCCCCTGTATCTTACGGAGTATAACTTTGTCAGCTTTTTATTGTTCCAAATTTTTTGTCACTTTCCCTTTTAATCAATGGAGTTATGATTCATGTTATTTGTCTCTCCTCTACACAACCATCTACACACAATTTTAATTTATTTTTCCATATGACGGTCAAAAATGGAGGGAATACTAAATTGATTATTTTACCCAACTCAAATTGTTTATTCACCACACATAAACAGCCCTTACCTTGTTACAACAATAAACAATATTAAGAATGTCTTCTTTTGAACTGAAATTTGTTGATGTGGTGTAATCTAGTTTGATGTTATTTGTTTAAATCTGATTTGATTTCGTCTCCTCGAGGACGGAAACTAATGTATCCAAGTACTTCACCACCACTATGTACTAGTGTACTACGTACTTCATCCGTTCTTTAATTCTTGCAAGTTGCAACATTGTGATTTTTGCACTGTTCTTTTTCTGCACTATTCACAGACCTTATTTTGATCACGATTTTATACCAATATATATAATCAAATTATTACATATAAAATGTTATTGAATTCTTATCAATGTGAATTTCCAAAATATCAACTGTTTATAATGTTTATTAATGCATAATTAAATATAATTACAATAAAATTTGTGTGTTGGTAAACGCGAAAATGAAACTGTTGCAAGAATTAAACAAGAGAATTAAATGCTTTTTCATAGTAGGGAGTATATCCGAACAGTAAAAAAGGCTCATTTAGTTGCGCGGATAAATAAAGGCCACGCAGCGAGGACTCCTCCGATCACAAAATCTCAGCTTCCCTGAGCTTCAAACGGTGCCTTCGATCCCCCCAGTTCCCTGAGGAAGGAAACAAAAAAGCATGGCGGGCATCAGAAAGTATACTCTTTTCTTATCCCTTCCTCGAATTATCGCCAGAAACTGCCCATCTTTCCAGACCACTCCGATCTCCTTCCACAGACTTTCCAGGTACCCACTCCAATTTTCTTCTAAACATGATTGAGAGCTTTTCTGGATTTCGGCGTTCCAACCGTGCGTTTCTTTTATTCTTTCCATTTTTATCAGGCCGTTTTTGAGTTCTACATCGCGCTTCTACTCTTCCAACGTTGATATCGACCTCTCTGACGAAGAGGCCAAAAGGCGCTTATTCAACAGGTGTCTTACCTTGGATAGCTGGATAGTCTTTTTATCTTAATTTTTATTATTTTTTTAATATTACTATATGAGTAGTTTTTAATTCTCGTGTTTATAGGCTTGTATATAGGAGCAAACAGAGAGGGTACCTAGAGCTGGACCTCATTCTGGGTAATTGGGTGGAGAATCATATCCATTCTATGGATGCAAATGGAATCAAGGCCCTTGTTCACGTTCTTGATGCGGTAATTTTTGTTTATTTCCTTCTGTTTCAGTTCATATTTTTCCCATGATATACTCTGCAAACTGCATAAAGATTTATCATTTAGCCCATCGTAGCAGATATGGTATCTGTATTTCATGATTCATTCTTGCTTATTACTTGATATCGAGTACAATGAACAGCTAGCAGCCTAATCATATCACTAAATGTGATTCATATTAGTGATCAACTGATCTTATTCAACTACCAATATTGAAATCAACATTTACATTAAGATCTCAATGAAAAGAGGAATAGGTAAAGAGGCAAAGGAAGACAATTTTTCGGTGGGTGGAACCTTAAAGGCTTGTTTGGTTTGTGGATTTCAGATGGGAGGGGAGGAAACAATTGTTTTATACGAAGTATTTACTATTTTATCTCTATGTGTTATTGTTAGACTAAAAATAAAAATAACTATATGATTAGTTAGACCCTGTATTTATAAATGGTTTTTATGTTCACTTTATTTCTAATATTCTAAATGTAGATATAATTAAAACAATATCAGCCTCCCCTTCCGTCTCCCCCGAACCCCCAAACCAAACTAGCCCTAAAGGCCTGTACTAACAAATTCTGAACTAACAACTTCATGGTTATAATGGATAATAATAGGAGTGAAGAACTATAGAACTTTGTAAGAACTCAGTATGAATAAACTATTGTAAACGAGTTTTCACATTCTTTAAATCATAGAGATTTCTTCCGGAAATCACAAGTCAAATAGCTAACTAGACTTGTATGTAAACATAAGCATGTTCACTATCCACTACTCAAGATAGTGAATGAAACCCTTCACACTCACCATTCAATTATGACAACTAAGGATATTATTCTCTGACTTGGGATTAAACAATGATCAATAAGGGAAGAACAATAGATGATTTAAAAACAAAGGTTTATTAAAATGATATTAAAAACAATATAAATTAAGCAACCTTTCATCATCATCATCGTCATTACCTCAGTGCCACAAAGGATCCCACCTACGATGAGATAAGGGGGTCAGATGTACGCATCCTTACCCTTGTACTAAAGCACAGAGAGACTGTTTTCAGATGCTTCATGATGAAACTCACGTTGGAAATTGCATGCTGCTTCACAACAAAAAACACAGAAAGTGTAGTGAGCCATTTTGCTTTATTCGATCAAATTAAGCAACCTTTACTACGAAAAAATAATTAATTCTCCTCCTCTAAAAGTTACCAGACTAACCAACCTATCAATACGTGTAAAGATCAGCACAAACCTGAGTTTTTCTTTTGGACAAGGTCTGATAGATGCGGTTGTGCTGAGAGGCCCTATTTAATCAATGTCACGCCTGTATTTTTGGGTACATTTTTATAGAAGTAAAAATTGTGTAGTTGAGTTTTGGTGCAGAGCAAATAGTAACACTATAAACCACATATTTATTTCTATAAAAGGAAAATGACAAAGTGTTAGTGGGACATGGGAGTATGCTTTATGATGGTTGTTTATAACCCAATCACACACTTAAGCATCTTAGAATAGGAGGGATTTTATGAGCTTTCTATGCATAAGTTTGAGGGATATTCCCATTTTGTTCTTATCATTTGATGACTGAATGAAATGAGCATAAATAGTCTATCTTCTTTGACAAAAGAAGTAATTTGTTTGAGTTGATTTATTCTCTTGCTTGCAGGAGAATCCAGATCTGTGGAAGTGGTTGACAGGTCAGGAGCAAGCTCCAGATGCAATAAGAACCAATCCTGTAAGAAAGCAGATCCCAAATTCAGATTTGTCTTTGCACTAACGGTTCCTAACTGAATAATTTTTGGCTCTAGGTGTTCACTGCTGTACACGAAAAGGTCCTAAACAACCTCGACAAACACACGTCCCCCGAGACTCGTGCCACTCCCGGACAGGAATGGGTGAGAGGGTGGGATGATTTCAAAAGAGGTCGGGATGGCCCTATAGCTGGGAATCAGTAGCACTTTTTTGTGTTTGCTTGCTTGAGATCAACTGTGTATGAATAAAAAAGGAGGAAATAAATTAAATATCTCAGACTTTCAAGGGTGTGAGATGAGTACTCCAAACTTGCACATGTTATATACGATAGTATATACCCTAAACTTTATGTAAAAAGTTCCGTCGGCACCATTAGTATATATTTTTTCACAAATGTAATTTTATGGTGTTAAGTACATAATTTAAAATACGCAAAACATTTATGAGGATGCAATTAAAATTAAGTTTTACAGGATGTAAAATTATTTATTTCACAAAAGAAATTTTAGAATGTTAATTGCATTCTAAAAAGCTTAGAGTATTCTAAATTATGTAATTATTCCAACAAATTTGTATTTGTAAAAAACACACAATCATGATGTGAAAATTACTTTTTATATAAAGTTCGGGGATATATATACTACGTATTACATATGCAAGTTTGTGTTGTTTACCCCACACCACATTAAAGATTGGAATATTATAATTATTTTCCTCGTAAAAAATGGTGTGTGATAATGTGATATATGTAGAAGAAGAATAGCATATACTCTGTAGTACGTATGCCATTGCTATTGAATTTTCTGTAAGATTTTAAGTGACATATAAAAGACTATACTAGCATCCTTTTAGCTCTGAGCAATTGAATCTCAATCTAGTAGGGATGACATTGATCGTATCCGATCATCCAAAGGTAGAAATCTTAACAATAATCGTCATATACCGGGTTGAGTTTAACTGATGCTTTTTTATATGAACCTGCGTTGGTTTCTACTATGTTAGAATAAAAACTGGACCTAAATATATCTGATACTGTTTTATAGATTCTAGAACTGGAACTGAGGATGGCTTTGTTGTGAATAAAAATCATAGGGATCTCGTTTACGCATGCATCCTTTCCACTGGCTTATCTTTAGATGAATCTTATGTTAAAAAAGTTCTTAGTGTTACTTGATGACAAAAAGTGGTTATATGGAATTTTTGGAAATGCTTTGTAAAAAAAACTTCTTTAACATTGTGATATGCAAACCCTTCATTTGAAACTGTCCATAAAGTTTGATATTGTTTGTTATGGAGCTATTGTGAGGAATGAAAAGAGAGTCGAGTATCAACTCAGCACTTCATATACTTGAATGTGCAAGTGTCTATATAATAATAGGCTAATAGCTCATTACCTCATGCAAATCCACCACCTTTTTTTTTATGTATAATGTATTCAAACTTTCAAAGCAAAACCTGTGTATTTTGAAAAAATAACTTCACATTTCCTCATTATCAATGGTCACACTATTTTGTGATCTCATCATATTCATGAATCATATCTCGTTTAGATTTTACCTATTTGTGTTAGTAAGTATCTATGTTTCCATTTTCAATAATGTCAGTATTTTTCTATGCATGTATGTTAAGCAGTCTCAAACGATTCTAGTACCTAAAAATAGCACTTCATCAATCCCATTTAACTAGATACATAGTACAGTTTTTTGGGTTCTTTTTCTAACAATATGAACTCACTAGTTTGTACATATTACGATGTTTGACTGACCAAAAAGTTAATTGATCCCTGTCATTAATAGAATTGTTTTTAGTAAATAAAATTTACATATTCAGAAACTACATTAAAACCGCTACAAAACCTACAAAAAATAATTTAAATTTCATAAACTTTCGATATATAAAGTAAAAGATTAAGAACAATGCACGTTGACCGGAGAATAGTGGACGAGGACCTTTAAATGGGACAGAGGGAGTAATATTTTATCATATCTTTTTCAAGCTTTTATTTCCCTTCACATTTTATTTAAATAATAAATACAAGAAAATGAGATGAACTACTTTTTTTCATTTTCTATTTCTAAATTATAGAACTTGATTAAATAAAATAATAAACAATTTTTTTGAAAATCAAATAACTAATTTATTATTAAAAGATAGCAAAAACACACGAGAACGAATATCCTAACTCTACAATGGGATGAGACATAGAACGTAAAAGATCCGATGAATCCTTCCAGATCGCTAACTCCGCAATAACGTAGTCTAGTCTAACAGTCTTGCTGCTCTTTCTTCTACTCCAAAGAGAAAATAAAAAATTACAACTAAAAGATCCGGCTTCACTAGTCACCGCAAAGGGAGAATTTGTTTGACCAACAACCAACAAAGGAAAATCAGTCGAGCAGAAATTTTCTGAATCATCGATTTGACCAACAACTGAAAAAGGATATTCAATTGAGTGTTTTCTTCTTCCCAGAGCGAGGCGGTGGTTCAGGTGGTGGGCGAATAATTAAAGCATCAGAACAACAAGGTTGAAAAAGTTTTACCAACCATGAACAACAAAAATTCACCAGATCGATTACACCGATTAGAAACACAAAGCCTCTAGACTTTGCTAGAAGAATAACGTACCACACGCTCACATGAACCGGCCAAAATCCTCGAAAATAGAAATTACTCCCTCCGTCCCGCTATGATTGTCCCATTTTACCATTTCGGTCCGTCCCACTAAGATTGTCTCATACCTTATTTGGTAAAGTTTGTGTGGTTCTGAATCATTCCTACTTTATTCTTACTTTATCAATTCAATATCAACCACATAAACTCACTTTTATTAATAACCGTGCCACCACCTCTTGTCCCAAACTTAGCGGGACAGATGTAATAAAAATAGCGGAAGAATAGAAAAACCTTTGATTAGATATTTCACTGCATAGAAAATGTCACCATCTTCCAAAACTTTTTGCTGATTGAAGAAGAAAAGGCTGAAAAATCAGATCTTGAAGGAGGTTGGGATGAAAAATCAGATATTTCTCCTAGGGTTGGCTCTTCAAAGTTCGCTGCTCCAAATCAATGGATTATTATGACGCTGTCACGAGGGGAGAGAGGAGCGGCGAAGGGAAACCCTAGCCTCCTCCTCCTCTTTCTTTCTTCTTCTCTTCTCTTCTTTTGACTTCAATAATGGAAAAAGTTTCGTTTAATCAGTATTTTCAGTTCTATCTATACGTTTGTTTCCTAGCGTTGTCTAGAGATATTTTCGGTGGCGAAGTGTCGCTCGCCAGATCTATATTCATCGCCATCATAGGTCGGGTGTTCTTGTGTGCTAGTAAGAGGTTTGTATTTGCTTCTTTATTAATCATGAATCAGTATTTCTTCTGCATTGATATAGAGGCCGATCGCCCCCCTCCTGAACCACCGCCGATCCAGGAAGATGACATTGGGTGTATTGCTTTCTTTCCGGTGGCTGGTCAAACCGGAACAATTTATGCACTTGGCTCCTTACCGGTGGCTGGAAAAACCGACAAGTTGAGTAATTCCTTTTCGGTGGCTGGAAAAACCGACAAGTTGAGTAATTCCTTTTCGGTGGCTGGTCAAGCCGAACCCATTTCGAGTAGTATGAGCAGACACACTGCGGTACAAGTCTACATTGTTGCAGAGTTAGCGAACATGAATGCTTTGATATGGCGTTTTTGTTTATTGTCTCACCCTAGTGTAGTATTGAACGCTATGATTGTAATGCTTCGGCTTTTAATTGTTATGTTTCTTGTTAAGATCTAATTATCAATAAAATGGTTATTTGATTTCAAAAATCAATGGTGTTGGAACATATTGTTTTGTTGATGACAAACGACTAGTGTTACTTTTGGTCTATAAGTGATTGCAAGAAAGGAAGATAAGTCATGCTTTGGAACAAGCCGTAGACCTGAGCCCGGAACTATTCTACAACGGACATATATATTTTGTTGATAACTAACCATGCAGGTGGAACGACGGACAGAACTATCCTCAGGTCCAAATGGACATTATTATTGTGTTGTTGACTAACCCTGCACCTGGAACTAATACAAAATCATTTCTAGTTCCTGTGCTAACATGATATGATTTGTGATTTAATTTGTGCACTCTTGGATTAATATGTGTGTACGTAATATAGCTTTTCATGCATGATCAAATTGTCATCTACGGAAAGGATCTTTACGTACTATATGCTAAAATGGATATTTTACTTTCAAAGTGTCAAATGAATTTTTATGGAAATGATCTTTAATAAGTGCATCCACTTAGAAAAGGCAATTGTTTTTAAAAAGGAGAATCTCTATTCTCGCCATTGCACACTTATATTGAGAATAATTTCTTACCCTTTTTGGTGATTGACCATAACACTTACGAATTGAGTGCTTGCATGATTAATTAATTCCTTATCTAAGCACCTTGACACCTTGCACTCCCTAAATATATGTGGCATGATTTAAATTGCTTTCCATGCATGATTAAGATACTCACTTTAATATGTTAGTCTGTATAGCTTAAATACGTTATGGAAAGAATCCTTGCATGATGGCATATTTGAGTGTTGACCGGATGATATTTATAATTGCTAAGTGAATAATCTACTCTCTTAATATATGATTCTTGATAAGTCATACTCGACTTAAATATGTATGGGCCGTTGCTCCTTGTTTTGTTAAGATTAAATTCCTAGCTTTTGAAGTGTTGACCGATGCCAGCTTTATTTGGAAATTAATTCAAACACTTGGAATGTCCGTACCTTAATTAAACCTCACGAGATTTGGTTAAATAATTTATATTCTTGTTGCGTGATTGATTTATTACCTTAGTATTTTGAATGGTTGACTGACTTATATATCAAGCTCGGATTTGGAAAATCTTATGGAAGGAAAGATATTCAAAATATCAAGGAAAGAAGATCAAGTACTTATGGAAGGCTGCTTAACGGACTATCCCAAGACAGCCTATATAAACGAAGCAGCTAGAAAGAAAAAGGGTGTGCTTGACCGAGATAGATATTGAGAGAGATCTTCATAAAAGAATTACTGAAGCTCAAGGCACCTGAAACTGCTCACTCGGAGTTCTAGATATAGTTTCTTCTTTCCCTTCTTCATATTGTAATGGGGTTTTGAGGATTGGCTAAGAGCAGCCTCCTCAGGTTGATTTGTGTGAGCGAGAGCTTTGTTGTAAAGCTGAAAGGCTCTCTACCCGCAAGGTAGAGAAGCGTAACTCTTCCTAGAGAGGATAGAGTTGGTGGCTCGAGGGTAGACTAGGAGAGTTTCCCTTGTAATCATTCAAAGCCTTTTTAGTGAAGTTGTTAAAATTCCTCCGAGGGAGGTCGAGGTTTTTTAATCCCTTTGAGCCAAGGGATTTTTCCTCGTTAAATCCTTGTGCACTTTACTATTTCGCAATTCTCTATACCCCGCACTAGAACTGGGCGAAAAACTGCCACGGTTCCACACACACAATTTACCCCCCTCTTGTGTTGCGAACCGTTTCATCAAATGGATTATTATACTCCATAATGTCTAAAACGTTTTTATAAAATAATAAACATATGAAAACCGAATCAAATTAAATTGAGTCAATAATTTTGAATTTGATAAACCGAATTGTTTCGGGCCTAATAAACTACTCCCATTTTCAGTGCTCACCCAAAAAAACCGAACTCACTCAACTCAGCATTCGTGCCTAATGGATCGTCGCTCCGATAAACACTTGGGTCTGTTTGCAATAGCTTTTGCTTTTAAAAATGTGTTTTTTTAATGAAATGAGGAGAAGTGATTAAGTAAAAGTTGATAGTGTTTGAGAAAAAAGTAATTTTGAAAAGTAAAAGTGGGTAGTGTCTGGTAAAATAAGTGCTTTTTGTGTAATAGAAAAAGTAAAATTACTTTTGACGCGGAAGCCAAGAAAAATAAAAGTTGTAGTGTTTGAGATAATAAGTACTTTTTTAAA